AAGAACTCACCCATTTGTCGTGAAACTAGGTTTGAATCTACAGACTATTCATTTATGTGCTTTCGTTTAGCACAACTTCACTCTATCGCCTTTCTCTTTGTTCTATATCGCTCTCCTTCATCCCAAGATTGCACTATTCTTGAAGCTATTTCTGATCAAATTGACCAAGCCCTCTCTCTTTATCCATCGGCCAATATCGTCGTTGTTGGTGACTTTAATGCCCATCACACCGATTGGCTTGGCTCTAGTGTCAGTGACTCTGCTGGCGTTAAGGCCCTCAACTTTTGCCTTTCTCAATCTCTAACTCAAATAGTCAACTTTCCAACTCGTTTTCCAGACAACCCTAATCATTTACCTTCTCTACTCGACTTATGTCTTGTTTTGGATCCTAGTCAGTGCTCAATTTCTCCACATTCACCCTTAGGTACTTCTGATCACGGTTTGATCTCTCTAAAACTATTATCAAATTCTTCTACTTCATCAGAATCCCCCTATCATCGTACCACATACAACTACCTTAAAGCTGACTGGGACTCTTTCCATGATTTTCTTCGTGATGGCCCTTGGGTAGAAATCTTTCGTCTTCCTGCTGACAAATGTGCTTCTTACATAACTTCGTGGATTCAGGCTGGCATGGAATCTTTTATTCCCTCTCGACGATTCCAGGTCAAGCCTCACTCTTCTCCTTGGTTTTCCTCACATTGCGCTGCAGCAATTTCTAATCGAAACCGTTACTTCCATATCTATCAGCAAAACAATTCTCCAGAAAACAGACATCTGTTCACTATCGCCAGAAACCATTGTAAAAAGGTTTTGTCTGACGCCAAAGCTCGCTATTCCCAGGTCATTAAATCTCGTATCTCATCACAAAAATTAGGCTCTCGAGACTTCTGGAGAATCTTTAACAGTATCAATAATAAGGGCAAATCTGTTATTCCTTCTCTCTTGTATGGTTCAGACTTTGTCATCTCACCTAAAGACAAAGCTGAATTGTTTGCTAAGAACTTTTCATCAATATCATCTCTTGATTCCACTAGTTGCGTTTTACCTGACATAGCCGTCAAACAGGTTGATCACTTGCTTGACATTCGCATCACTTCAGCTTCTGTATCTAAAGTAATTTCCTGCTTAGACTCTTCAACAGCTTGTGGTCCTGACAACATTCCTGTTGTAGTCTTGCAGAGGTGTTCTCCGGAGCTTTCATCCATACTTTCTAAACTATTTAACAAGTGCTTATCAGAGTCTTGTTTTCCATCATGCTGGAAAGCAGCATCTGTTATCCCTATTTTCAAAAATTCCGGAGAGCGATCTGATTCATCTAACTACCGTCCCATTAGTCTTCTTCCTGTCATAAGCAAGGTTTTTGAATCTTTAATCAACAAACACTTAATCTCTCATCTTGAATCAAATAACTTACTTTCTGATCATCAATATGGATTTCGGTCTTCTCGTTCTACAGCTGATGTGCTAACAGTAATAACCGATAGGTTTTACCGTGCATTAGATAGAGGTGGAGAGGTTAAGGCTATCGCACTTGACATTTCTAAAGCTTTTGATAAAGTTTGGCATGCTGGTCTTCTCCATAAGCTTTCTTCTTATGGTGTAGCTGGTAACGTCTTTAAGATTATTGAGTCCTTTCTTTCCAATCGTAGTATAAAAGTTGTCCTCGATGGACAACACTCTTCTTCACATCCTGTAACTTCAGGGGTTCCTCAAGGTTCAATCCTTGGCGCTATACTCATTTTAATTTACATTAACGATCTTCCAGATATTCTCACATCTAAGGTGGCATTATTTGCTGACGACACTACCATTTACTCTTGTCATGATAAGAAGCCTACACTCTCTGATTGCTTGGAGGGGGTATCTGAGCTTGAAAAGGATCTCACTTCTGCTACAGCATGGGGCTCACAGTGGCTGGTGAACTTTAATTCAGATAAAACTCAATTTTATTCGGCCAATCGTTATCGTAATAATTTAGATCTTCCTATATTTATGAATGGTAATGTACTAGATGAGTCATCTACCATTCATCTTCTAGGATTAACTCTTACTTCTGATCTTTCTTTTAAACCGTATATCAAATCCATTGCAAAATTAGCATCTGCTAAGGTTGCATCTCTTTATCGAGCTCGACACTTTCATACTCCAGATTCTATTCTCTATCTCTATAAATCTCAAATCCGTCCCTGTATGGAATACTGTTGCCACATCTGGGGCGGATCTTCTAATGATGCTCTTTCTCTTTTAGACAAGGTGCAAAAACGAATTGTAAACATAGTTGGTCCTGCTCTGGCAGCCAATCTTCAACCTTTGTCACATCGTCGTAATGTTGCTTCTCTTTCTCTTTTCTACAAATACTATAATGGGCACTGCTCTAAAGAGCTAGCGTCCCTTGTGCCATCTACTAAAATTCATTCTCGTGTTACTCGCCATTCAATTAAGTCTCATCCTTTTTCTGTGACTGTTCCTAAGTGCTTCAAAAACTCTTATTCTTCTAGTTTTTTTCCTCGAACATCAGTTCTTTGGAATTCGCTTTCTTCATCTTGCTTTCCTGATTCATATAATTTGCAATCTTTTAAGTCATCAGTCAATCGTTATCTTGCTCTACAGATTTAGTCTTTTCTCTTCCAGTAACTTCCAACTCTTATAGTGGTTGCTTGCAGCCTTGTTGGAAGTGAAGATGTTAAAAAAAAAAAAAAAAAAAAAAAAAAAAAAAAAAAAAAAAAAAAAAAAGGTATATTAAAATTTTTGTTTTTACACTTTGATATCAATGATTAGCAAACTGTGGATCATGTGACATCAGATGCTGTTGCAAAGCTAAATTTGTATTTTTACAACAATTATGGTATAAAACATAGAGCTTCACAAAAATTTGATCTAATTTAAATTATATATATATATATATATATATATATATATATATATATATATATATATATATATATATATATATATATATATATATATATATATATATAATATATATATCATACTTTTACATGATCTATTGCTTAAGTTGCTTTTAAATAAAAAGTTTAAATGATTACAGTAAACATGTATATATTATTTTTTTTTTTTTTAATATTATAAATGTGAAAAAAAAAAAGTTCAAAATTATTCTATTTTTATGACAACTTTTTAAACAATTCCAACAACTTTCTAGATTTCCACAACTTTTTAAACAATTTCCACAATTTTCTAGATTTTTAAGTAGTTACTAGGCTTTTCTTAACAAGTTTTTTAAATTTCACGCAGTCTTTAGTCTGTTTAGAAATTTCTTTTAGAAGAAGTTAGTACTAGAATGAATGGTAAACCTAATTTAGTACAGTGTTTCTTCTGATTCAGTTTTGTCTTTAGTCTTTTTAAGAATGTTTTAAGCAAGTTTTATTTTATTTTTAATAACAATTGGAAGGAGCTGAAGAACTTTCTAGTTAGTTCAATTCATTTAACTACTTATAAATTCTTTTTTTGTTTTGCTTAAAATTAGAAGGATTAATGAGAATAAAAAATTTCATGTTGAAAAACATTTTCTAAGTTGCCACAATGGCAAGGTAGTTTCCCTCCACTTTTATCATTTTTGCAAGTGTTACAAGATTTATTTACTAGGAGTTATATAGATCGTAATTCCAGTATGAATTCTTTTAAATATATTACAATTTATAATGCCTGGATTTCTCTTGCTTCTTTACAGTATGTGGTTCAACCTATGAATCACAATGTAGGGCCACAATGTTTTAGAATATGTGATCAAGAATCTGAAGATTATTGGGCCAGATCAAAATTTTCTCCCAACATATTGTTAACTGTATATCTATGACCCACTTGCAGCAGTAAATTTTAGAATGCAACAATGTGGCAACAATCTTTGCTCACATGATTTAGCAATAGCTTCCTTTGCAATTTATAGTTAGTGACAAGAACTCATTTGTTATTGCATTTTAAAACATGGCTGAAGTAAAAGATTATGAAGTTCGTCAAGTAGCCTTAGAAAGTTGCTCAGTCTCAGTTGTTAAAATGTCTTTACTTGTAAGGCAATATAGATATCATTATAATCTGTCTTCACATAATGAAGTTGCAGTTGTATTTGTTGAAAAGGATGGTGCTCCTCCTGCTTCCAGGTAAGTTGTTATTTACCTAAGGCTTTATCCTCTAAAAATCAAGTATGTCACCCAACTTAGATTCTATGGTTTATCCACTTTTTTTTGAAAAGGTGATGCTGGTAAGCATAATCAATTAGAGAACAACCCTGAACATGCACTAAACAATGAAATCATGTTACATTATCTCAGTTTTTTACAATTATAGACTTGTAAGACAAAAATTTAGATCAATATATGGTAGAAAAGCATTTCTGTAATATGCTATTGATGCATATGTCAAAATCAAAAGGCAGCATCTTGCTTTTATCAGAAATAACCAAAACAAACTGAGAAGTAAGCAGTGTGATGCCTCACGTGTAAAGTAAACAACCTTGGAAATGATCATAATGTTAACCAGGAAGCCCTAGAGCTTAAAATGAAAATTTGAAGATATAATGATTATTATTATAAAGTATGATAAACCAGTCCTTTTTATTACTTTTACCTAAAATGATATTTAAGTAAGATAACTAAAAGTTCGTGGAGGATTTTTAGTCATAATTGTGTCATATATTTATCATGGTTATAACCCGGGGATTGAATGTGAAATTGTTAACTTGTATGATAAAGTATCATTATTTTGTACCAGTAACTAAAACTTATTGTGTTGAATTTTGAAAAGTTGCAGCAAATAGTTCTACTTTAAACTGACACAAAGTATGTCTGTTGTAAATCATTCAATTATTCAAATAATGTAAGATTTTACCTGGTTGATTTTTTTTATATGGGAGGGGGGGAGGGGGTTAAATTTTAAACCATTTGGGAACTCTACAGTGCCATCAGGCAGGCCAACATCCTTATATACAATTTCAGTTTTAAACTCTAAAAAATGCTATTAAAATAATTAAAAAACTTTACCACTTTTTTTAAGGTATGAAACACATTTCAATCCACACAAACTTTCACAACACTTTGATGAACTGTTGCAATCATCATCAGACAAGCACGATTTTAAATCCAAACACTCACTTATTTTGTATGGACAATAACCAGTTCTTACCACTATAACAAATAAGTTTAACTTAGAAAAAATGGTATTTAATAATAACATTCAACTCATCAAAAATAGTTTAAAATTTAATAATGACATTATAAAAATATGCTAATTATCTTTAAAAAATATTTATATATACTTAAATAATACTTGATCGTTAAAATTATAAACAGTGCTATAAATATGCGTTCTCTAAAGCATTATTAGTAAATGTATTTTGAATTTAAGGATGAAGTTAGTTTGCATGTTGCGAAGTAATACTTATTCCATAACATAAGTGTAATACATACTCCGTAACATAAATGTATATAAATGCTTACTCCGTAACCATTTACATTCATTCAAATATCTGCTTGGTATGATAATAAAAAATGACTTATTTATCATATTTATTACTTAATAATTATAATTTGTTTAAAATTACTTTGGATTTTATAGTTTAAATAAATTTAATTAGCAATAATTTTTTTTACATTTGTTTTTATAAAAGCTTTTTAATAAAAATTATGATTGGTTGGTTCAATAACTAATATTAAATTCATCGATTGGTTGGTTCAACAACTAATACAAAATTTTTTGATTGGCTGATATCTAATTTCTGGGGTGCCAAGAGCTTTCATGCCGCTTAGAACAGCAACCCTAATTGGCCCCTGTTTTTCCTAATATTTCCTATATTATCAGTGAATAGCCTTTTTTTTTAGGTACTTTGTTTTTTTATTTGGCACAATTTGGATATCTGCCCATTTCGCCCCTCCTCTTGATGCCTCTGCTTATGACTATTTCTGGTTTTCTTTGCATATATAATATTGGTAAAATATGAGTACATAAATTATTTATTGTAATTATTTGTTTTTTTAAGTTAGAAAAGTTTCATTTAAAAAAATAAAACTATTTTATTTTTTTTTTCAATTATAAATTTATTTTATAAAAGTGAAACTGGTAATAGTTTTAATACTGGTAATAGTTTTAAGTTTTAAACTGGTAATAGTTTTAAGTAAAACTGGTAACCAATAAAAAGGTTTTTATTAAAGCAATTAAAATAGTCGTAATATGCAATAAAGTCTATAATACGTAAACAGAACAGTAATTGAAAAATGAGAGTTTAAAGTCTTTCAAACAAATGATTTAGCAGAAGTTTAATTTTGTATAAAACTTACAGAGAGTACTAAGACTTTTTCAAAAACTCTCACAAAAAAAAAATAATGTGCAATAGCAACAGAAATGTTTGCACACGGAACATCAATCATAAAAAAAAAATACTTTTCAGACCATGATGATATTCTACATAATGTGGAAGCTGTATTAAAATCTCAAAAAAAAGTTCTGGTTTCTAAATGATATTCTCTCTATAATCAACAGGGCTTCAACTAAGTGATTCCGAATTGCAATACCTGGAAATGCGTCTTGTTGTTAAATATTTTGCTTTTTACAAACAATTAACTCTGTTTTTATCACTAAAAAGCTGTTATTCAATAAAAAAATATTTTTATTGATCATAGAATATGTTAAAAATTATTTTTATTGATCATGAAAGGTGATAAAAAATATTTTTATTGATCTTGAAATATGATTAAAAAAATATTTTCATTGATCATGATTTATGATAAAAAGTATTTTTATTGATCTTGAAATATGATTAAAAAAATATTTTCATTGATCATGATTTATAATAAAAAATATTTTTATTGATCTTGAAATATGATTAAAAAAATATTTTCATTGATCATGATTTATGATAAAAAATATTTTTATTGATCTTGAAATATGATTAAAAAAATATTTTCATTGATCATGATTTATGATAAAAAATATTTTTATTGATCTTGAAATATGATTAAAAAAATATTTTCATTGATCATGATTTATGATAAAAAATATTTTTATTGATCTTGAAATATGATTAAAAAAATATTTTCATTGATCATGATTTATAATAAAAAATATTTTTATTGATCTTGAAATATGATTAAAAAAATATTTTCATTGATCATGATTTATAATAAAAAATATTTTTATTGATCTTGAAATATGATTAAAAAAATATTTTCATTGATCATGATTTATAATAAAAAATATTTTTATTGATCTTGAAATATGATTAAAAAAATATTTTCATTGATCATGATTTATAATAAAAAATATTTTTATTGATCTTGAAATATGATTAAAAAAATATTTTCATTGATCATGATTTATAATAAAAAATATTTTTATTGATCTTGAAATATGATTAAAAAAATATTTTCATTGATCATGATTTATAATAAAAAATATTTTTATTGATCTTGAAATATGATTAAAAAAATATTTTCATTGATCATGATTTATAATAAAAAATATTTTTATTGATCTTGAAATATGATTAAAAAAATATTTTCATTGATCATGATTTATAATAAAAAATATTTTTATTGATCTTGAAATATGATTAAAAAAATATTTTCATTGATCATGATTTATAATAAAAAATATTTTTATTGATCTTGAAATATGATTAAAAAAATATTTTCATTGATCATGATTTATAATAAAAAATATTTTTATTGATCTTGAAATATGATTAAAAAAATATTTTCATTGATCATGATTTATAATAAAAAATATTTTTATTGATCTTGAAATATGATTAAAAAAATATTTTCATTGATCATGATTTATAATAAAAAATATTTTTATTGATCTTGAAATATGATTAAAAAAATATTTTCATTGATCATGATTTATAATAAAAAATATTTTTATTGATCTTGAAATATGATTAAAAAAATATTTTCATTGATCATGATTTATAATAAAAAATATTTTTATTGATCTTGAAATATGATATAAAATCTCATATTGTTACTCTTATTTTTATTATTATTGTTTTTTTATTATTATTAAAAGTTATGATATATATATATATATCATAACTTTTAATAAAAATAAAATTATTATTAAAAGTTATTGTAATAATAAAACAGTGCTCGAAATATTTATTCAAAAGTTGTCGAGCAATGTCCGATTCTGGATCAAGTAAAGTCTCCTTGTCTGCAACTAGAGATTTGTTGAGTTTCAAAGTATACTTTGAGAGGTTGGTACTATTTGTATCAGTATTCTCATTATTCAACTGTGGCCACAGAATGCTAAATAACTGATAAAAAATCCGTAAGATTTGTCAAAAGTATACTGACATCACCTTGCAAATCTTACCTGACTTATGTGCTGATGTTATTATTGGTCAAGCTTTTATGAAACAATATAACAATAACATTTGGAGAAAAAATTACCCCCTTTGCTAGTTTGCTGTCTAAAGAAATCATTATTTACAAATCTCTCCAAAGACTACCATACGATTGCAATAAAATCTTGAAGATTCAGTCACATCGATAAGCTTTTCATACTGAAATAAAATAGTTATTAAATGACAAAATTATAGAACTAAGCAAAACACCTTAGAAGGCACAAATAATAATCACAAATTAAAGACACAAAAACGAATGTCTGTCAATTATTCTGAAACTATAAACAAATTCACTTACCTCAATGCTTATCCTTTACTTAGAGTTGACGATTAGAACAAAAAATTCTCCAAGTACTCTTTTTTAGTATTAACTTCTAAAAGAAGATAAACCTTATATAGCATTCGAAGCCGATGGCAAATTGAACCAATTTACTTGTTTGCTATTTGTGCCAACAAATGCAGTTGCTGTTTTCAAAGGAAAATTGATGAACTTATAATAGAACTCTTTAAAAAAGACCTATGCATATTTAAATATTACAGTAACTGGCATAACTCAAACTGAAGGGACTATACTGAAACCCTAATATCCAAGGCTGGAGGTGACATGTCAAAATTACATACATCATTTTTAACTGCTGACAAATTCAGGCATAAGTTGGACTGGGATACAATAACTTTATTTTTTCATTTTGGTCTCTAGTATCCAGAAGCTCTAAACATGTTGGTTGATAAATGATCTGTTAGAGAAAAAAAAATTGATATTTAATGACTTGATATTAAATTGATAAAAGTTGATATTTAATGACTTATTGTTTTTAAGCTCAGAGTCCTGGAGTCCCAAAGTCCTTGAGCCCAGGAGTCCTTGTCGTCATTATACCTAAGGACTTTGGGTTCAAAAATTTATTGTTCTTCTGATCTATAAGTCTTGATTTTTTTCCTATTAATAGCCCATAAGCTTTTTTATATTTTTAAAGCTCCTGGATAAGAAAAACTAGCTGTAACAGAATTGCTGAGCTGACCATTGGACTCCTGCGTTCATGGCAGTGTAGTGACTCTATCATAAACATGGCATCTGACACGGCTGCATCAAACAATAGGCATCTAACTGCGGCCTGCATTACAATTCAGATACAGTTAGGTCTAGCACTGCTCTGGTCAGGGTGTTGACACCATAATGGTGAAGTAATTCTTACTCACTTTTATGAAGTTCTTCAAACTGATGTTTCAAAATCACCTGAGGTAATGTTGTTTACACAGTTTTGTAAGAATTTTGTAGAGATGATTATAAGAAATTTGCAGAGCTTTGTGTTGTGTTCCTACATAGGGAAGCAGAAGGACACAAAGCCACATTCAAGCAGCCAGGAGCACTCCACAAGGCAAGGTGAATGTCAAAATTGCTCTATTATATAAAGATGTGTCTTCTTGAGTAGCAGATTGCAGAACTTCCATGCAGCATAATTACAACACAGCCACAGTTGAACAAAGTGATAGACTTGTAAAAAAGTGAACTTTGTGACCCTTGTTTGTAATGCATGATGGTTGGATTGTAGTTTAGTTACAGATACATTGTCGAATTACTTGCAGCTCTTACATTCATTCCTGCAGTATGACTAGGTGAATGCCACTATCTCGACATGTGCAGTTTGTGCGCTCAAGCGACATTTGTGTATCTACCAGAAGAAATAGTACTTCTTGTTCTCTGGAGCAAGAAGGTTTCAAATGTTGAACGCTGTAAAGTTGCTGATCATCTACTTGCAGTCAAACCGGCATCAAACTTAAAATCGT